ATCGTTCTAGCTTTTTCAATTATATCATAGTAGTATTACATGGACAAATAAAAACATATTGTAAATCTAAGCAATTACAATTCCGAGTTTATAATTGTGTAGCAACTAATAATCAAACAGAAACCAAAATTGAAATCATATATTTAAACATATTGAAATCAGTGCACGAAGAGTTGAGATTTTAGTAATCATACTTTTGTTTCGCAAGAGAATTTCGAATAGCTGAAGAAAACCTGTGTTCTGCGATCGAAAACTATCTGCGATCGAAAACTATTGTTTCTCTTAAACAATTGTGTTATGCGATCGGAAAACATCTGCGATCAGCTGTATGAAACGCATTGGATTTGCGATCAACGTTAGAATGCTTGAAACTAAGGTCGGCGGAAAAAACCTCCGTATCAGGAGCTGCGATCGGAAGTTTGGTATTTTCTGCGCGCGTATCTTGAGCGGAAGCTCTGGGTTTCTATTTTGGTTAAACGATTGACGTTTATATATGAGGTTACTTTTGAAAATAAAAAGTTCCGTATCTTAGTTTTGAAAAAAAAATCTAAAATTGAAAAAACTGATATTATTTTCCTTGTTGGGCCTATGTGTGAAAATTTCCCCTAAAAAATCACTAACATATACGGAGTAAAGAAATAAACAAGAATGGCATAGCCAAAAAGAAAATTAACGTGGCTTGAATAGGTAAAAATTTTCGTGATGATCTTTTACACAATCTTTTAACATATAAATATATATAATTATTTTACAAATTTGGAGAGGATCAAAGCTGAAAAATTAAAAAGGACATTCTAATTACGCCTCGAATAGAAGTAAAGTACAGTCCAAAATATATCATATGTTACTAATGCAAAGAATATCATTCTTTGAATGTAAGCAATAAAAGAGTGAAAAACACATGGAGATTCTAATAGGAAATTTGGTAAGAACACTACTACAATCAAGACTCACTAATACTACGTAATACTTTTTTAATCGAGCATTGTTAGTATATGTCCTAGCGACAATCACTTTTTAGAGATATATGTACTTGATCACATTCAGTTTTATATATTTGATATATACGGTATTACACATTCATTGATGATTAAGTATTTCGATTGTCAATATCTTATTCATAATTGTGTTCCTTTGGACTTATGTTGTCAATAAGTAAGTGGGAGCTTATATGATATAACATAAGGTCCTAAAATAGCCCCAATCAATGATCTTCAAGAGTGGGATATTGATGATATGCGATAAGATTGGTATGTGGATTGCATCATACTTTTAGAAAGTATAGTTGATCTCACAACTATGAGTTCCTGGAATTCATGATGGTCACATAGATATTTTAGAGAAAATTGGCATACCCACCGAGAAACCATTTGATAAGTTCTATTCATGTGTCTATGGGATTATCGGCGTATAGAGTAGTGTAATAGTCCTCCGACTTGAGGACAATACGTACTACATGTGCGGAGTGATGTTCTTTGACCATGACCAACGCTTGCACTCCAATCGGGGTAGATACGGCATGTGTTGGGTGTATCACGAAGCACATGGAGTAGTAGTTGAGCAAAGAAAGGATTCATTCCTCATAATAGATTAAGAGAGAACATTCTACTTCTCATATCTAGATGGATCATAAAGTCATTGGCCAATGCAAAGATATATTCGTTTTGGATATCGAATATGATCGTTATGGATCATCTAGAAAGATTGAAAGATAGAGACTAAGTTATTGGAATAGACACAATATCAAGTTTTAGATTTAGTTGAATGTTCGTTGAATGAAATGACCGTATCACTGTGAGCTCTTTATTACAGAGAGTTTGAATAGTCCTTGCAAACGTCCTTATATATTATATTTGTCTGGAGAATCGTCTAGGGATTTGCTAAAACCTTAATTTGATTAGTGCTTAATATATAAGGCCCTATGGGTCACACAACAAGTGATTATACCTTCCGATTGAATTGTTAGAAGGAATTAAATATTATTAATTGGATTGAATAATATTTAATTCGCAATACTTAAAATGGATTAAATATTAATTAGATTAAACATATTTAATTCATGAAGTTGAAGGAGAGTTCTATTTGATAGAATTAATTAAGTAAGATAAATTAGATTTATTATACTTAATTAAGATGTATTTATTATTAAATAAATTTGTATTTTCTTTTATTTGGATTAAAAGAAACATCAAAAAGCTAGATATAAATAATAACAAATAGAGAATGTGGTGCAGCCATTGCACGTACATCTCTATAATTATAATTATATTATATACTCACTTTGTTACATTTATTTAATTAAACATTATATTTTGGTCATGGTAGGACTAGAACTCATTAATGAGCAAGAATTTCATTGTGATTGGGAAACTAGTTTAGAACTAGTATAAATACATACGCCTCCTTCATAATTCCGAGACCAGTTTTCTAGATTCAGTATTACCTGTTTATTTCCCTGCGAAGAGATTTCCTAGCCTTTCTCTAAGGGAGATCTAACCGTTCTTTCGGAGATGAGAAATCACGTGGATACCTAAGGTCAAGGATTATCACCGCTAGGCCGGAAGATCCATAAGTTCTAACTCAGATTTGTTATTATTATCATATTCGTTGTTTTGTCATAATCAGGAAAGATCTGTTTGAGAAAATTTTAAACTTCCGTTTCTGTACTTTCGAGGTATGTTACATCAATTTCCTAACAATAATAACAGTCAATCCAATTAATATAAGATTGTTTTCTTTAAATATTACTTAAATATAACTTATTGAAAAATATTACCCTTCATTCCATTCAAAGCTTGTCACTTTCCCTTTTTAGACATCTCAACTAAATGTTTTCATTTTCTATTTTAGAAAACAATTAAAAGTGACAATTTAATAATAAATTTTAAAAATAATACATTTAAAACGTCACATTTGTCATCAATAACTCATTATATTATATACGTAGATATCAAAACTATTTCTCATCATGATCACTAAAGTTATAGTCATTGAAATATAAAAAGACATATTTTGTTCACTCTTATTCAGATCATATATCTGTCATTATTTTCAAATATATCACCGAACATGCATAATCTTGTTTTTTTATATTTCCCATCAACGTGGCTTTAGTTCTAAACTAATTTTTAAGTATTTCAATAAATTTGATTAAGGATTTAGGTATATATAATATTTATTTTTTAAAATGGATGCCCTACAAAAATTGGAGGCCCTAGACAATGTCTAGGCTACCCCACCTCCCCGGCCGGCCCTGCCAACGGGGAAAATATTCGTAAAAAATTAACATTATTTTAGATCCAGACAGTTTTTCATAAATGTAGCCAAAAAACCTTTTAGTTTTTAAGTGTCAATGTAATGTTACATTCCATTTCAAATCTAGAACACATTATACACGTTTCGATTGAATCGTTTTATCAAACACTTTATTAGCATTGACTAGTAGCTCACCCGTGCGATGCACGACAAAAAGCTTAAATACATATAGTTAAATAAACATTCTCAAAAAGCATATTGTTGCATCTATTAAAATAACTAAAGTTGAATAACAAACATTATCTCTACAAATTTTGAAAAAAATCTTTGTAAACGACATTTGTAGTCCGTGTTGTGCTTTGTTCGTCAGCATCCACATAACAAATTTTCACCCATTTCGTATTGGTGGCCCGGGAAACCGCAACATAAAGCTTACCATGAGACAAAACCGACTTTTTTGACAACCCCACATGAGAGATAAATTGGCCTTGAATTTTATTAATAATCATTGCATAAGCAATCATTATTGGAAACTCTCTCCTCTGAAATTTGAATGAAAGTCTCACATCTGAAAGAGTTAGTGATAATTTTGGAATGAGAGTGTGTTCACCCATTCGAAAGCTTTTAACCAAAATATTGCACTCATTGAGCATGTTCTTTAATCGTTGAACCATATCAGCATCCAATTGACTCCTATCATCTATTCTCCCTCCCATGGAAGTGAAAGCAAACGTATTGTTATAAGACCTAATATTTTTGAGGAAATGTTTGGTGATTTGATCTGTGCCGTAAATGAAGTCATACAACTGTGCCATTTGTTGTTTCATGAAAGTAATATTGACTTTACTGTGCATGCAACAAAGAAAATACTTTGGACTCTACTTAGTAGAATTAACAACTCGTTCTTCCATCCAAAACTGCGCACCCAATACTTTGTGACACACACACCTATAAAATGTACTTAACAATACAACCCAAACTGATGGGACTTTATTAATTTTTTTAGTAAACAAAATTATTTCACATTTTTGAAAATTTCGAACCTCTAGAAGCATCATTCGATATATTTGCAAGTTCTTCGTATTCTATAAAATCATCATCATTACTCTCTTCACCAAAATCGCATTCATTCATCAATGGTAGTTCACCGTCCCTTCCAAATCCTTCCTCAATGGCACACGATACATTGCAAACAATGAGTGTATATTATAGAATGTATATTATTTCATTAAAGGCCCCTGCAACCACTTTAGAATTACACCCATGCATGTAGACAAATTTCCGTGTAAACTATTTAAGGAAAAAATAATAAGTAACAAAAAAATTTTTCATAGCAATTAAAGAAGAGCAACAAATCAGTACTGTTTGTAAATAATCAGTAACCGTATCCGACATGCGTTTTACAAATATTGGAAAATTTCTTTGTAGACAACATTGGTTTTCTTCATTGAATTGTGCTTTGATCATCACCATACATTAACAAAATCTTCAGCCCTTTTCAATTAGAAACTCTGGAAACCACAACGTAGAGCTGACCATACAAGAAAACTATCTTCTTTAACAATAATCCCACATGAGAGAGTGAGAGATTGACCCTGACAATAATAGTCTTGCAAAAGCGTCTCCTAAACAATTTTCGTGTCCAGCCCAATAACTAACGGCCCACTACTTACAAAAGCCCAAGGCTGAGTTAGGAATACGGAGACCGAAGCTTCAGTCTTTCCGAACAAAGCCTATCGGATCGTGTAGCGGAGTAGGCATTCACAATCGACCAACGCGGAACGGCATCTCCCAACAGGCTTACAGGCCAACAAGTCGCCGACTCGCCGACCGTCCTAGTGCCGACGCTTGGCTGCCTGCCTCCCTCTCCGGCTGCCCCTTCTCGGGTTATCACAATCTCAGCAGTCCAGGCTGCCTACTGCGCTTCAGGCATTCATCAATTCGTCCTTCGTCCAAACGGCCTTCTGAGTTCTCACTTTCAGAGTTTCAGGCTTCACGCAACCGCGCTTCGTTCTTTAAGTACTCGGTACTCCTCCAGTCCTCAAACTCATTCATCAACGTCTGAAGTGCTTAACTCTTGTAGCGTTTTATTGGTTATTTGATCAATTCATTAATTCGTAGTTTTTTCAATGTTTATAAATGAATACTCCGTATTTGATAAATTTAGTTGATTTGGGCTGTTGAGTGTTGAGTGTTGATAAATGAGTAGTTCACATTCTTAATTGTTGATATCAATATATCATGATATGTCGATTGTTTGTGTTGCCTTTAGACTATATTTGATTACTTCACAGTTTTTTGAAAGCCAGAAGTTCATGGTTGTTGACTTGTTGTCTTGTTGTATTTGAACCCGTGATTGTACTTTATTTAATTTAACAAATTTAAGTCTTTTCTTTATTATAAAGGTCTTGACATATTATTAATATGCATATTAGTTTAGACAAAAAAAGTTTTAAATTGTTTTGTTAAACCTATTTTAAATTCTGTCCTAGGCCAATAAATAGATCTGACCGGCCCTGTTTTCAAAGTTCAAACATCACTCTTTCTGATATTACACAATTTGTGAACTATGTAATTCATGATTCTACCAGAGTAGTTGACAAAAGAGAAATTTGCTCCTAATAGGACCAAATCATAGCTCTTTTACATCAGGAAACTTATTTCTAACTTTCCAAATTTGCCCTTCAGCTTTATGAAAGTAAACCAAAAAAAACTTCCGCCTCTAAAGACCTCGCTTCTTATCAGCTGGATTATTGAGAAGATGGCGTCAAGTGACGCATAGCTGAGGCTACTCGCACCTGCAATGGTCTCTGAGGACGACAAGCTCGTTGATGTTTCCGATCAAGGCGTCAATTCGGTGCATGACGGAGATCTCGCGCTTGATGTTTCCGATCAAGGCGGTGCTGGCGATCTTCTTCTTGTTGATCGTGATCTTCTGTTCCATCTCCGGCATCCGCAACGGCGATGCCTCAGATGAAGGGAAAACGGGTGGTTTTATATGGCTGATTGGTTGAGGGCTTTAATTATTGGGAGATTATGGTTTGATTTTTGTTGTTGGTTTTGCAAACAGCATTGACCCCATCCAAAATTATGGGAGCTATAATTTGTTTCTTGCTCTGCAATCAAATTATTGTTATCAAAATTTATTGTTTATTTATTGTCTACTTATTGTCTATTTATTGTCTATTTAATGTCTGTTATTTTCTAAAAGTAAGGGTATTGTGTTCAATGCAGGTGTAGTTGAGTCTTACGCTAATCTTCCGTCTTATTTTTGGAAAATCCCTATGTTTTGCTCCTACTTGTTGAAATCCCCCTTGACAAAATCATAAGGTAATTTTCAATTAAAGATGCAAAACATTAAATAAAGCTTATGCCTCCTCCTCCTAACAAATAGACTCAAGTGAAAGGTCGTTTGGTAGAATTAACTAACCTATGATTTTACATTACTGATTACCAATAAAACTCTCATCACATATTTTTTTTTCAAACTTATACTACAGCTGCGGGATTAGTTTCCTTGCGTGGATTGAAGCATAAAGAAAGGGTAAATTCCACTGAGGTCGGGTTCTGTTTGTCATTTTACAATTTTTGAGTTCTCCAAAGCAACCAGCAATGGCTTTGAACCCTCAATCCCCTATTTATTCCTGCTGGAATCAACAGATCATCGACTGTTCATCCACAACCACTTCGACCTGCTCTTCGCCGTCTTTCACCACAGCCCTTTTCCATCCTCCTCTCAAGGTATGGTGTCATATATAAATTCATACCTACACGCATGTACAATTAGGTTTCCTGATTATCAATTCCCTCAATGACTGCAGAGTTTTCTGGGAGCTAGGGTTTCACTCTTCAGGAGGCAGCTCAACCCTCTATGGCGGGCATCATCACGCTATTTGCAAACTACTCATTTCTCTAACAATCTTAACCAGCAAGGTGATTTTCCTCTTTAATTTTTTTCCACATGTTCTTTTTCGTGAGATTAGCTCTACCTAGAGGGGTGGGCATAAAAAACCATAACCAGGCTGCTGTATAAAAAAAACGAAAAACCATTATTTTTCTGGTTAACCATACTGATTTTTTAGTAGTTCACGGTACAATTAACCGAGGAAATGAAAAAAAGGTTTGATTGTCAGATTACCATTTTGAAATCATCTGCCATCAGTTAACCGTTACCAAAGTCACCAACCCTAGCCATTGTCTCGCCCAGCCCAGACTGTCGATCCCTAGCAGTGTTCACTTTCTACGAGCTGCAACCTGCCGATCTCTTCTTTCCAGACTCCGACCACCTCCCTATCGACTATATATGGAATATGAATTATTGGAAATTTGGAATTGGAAAAGCTTCAATTGAGGAAAATTGGCAGGAATGAATCGGAGGCAATAGCCGCAATTCCCAAATTCCAATTTCCGTCTCTCGTTCTCAACTAACTGCCTTCTCAGTTTTCACCTTCTGCTGGAGATGATTTCGCCAGGTATCGAGTAGACAAGTAGTTGTGTACCGATCATTGATTGACCGCCGCAGGCACCGCCTATCAGTGAGCACGGGACCGCGCCGCCGCCTATCAGCCTTCTTCTCTACTTCTCTTATTACTCCATAATTTTATCTCTTACTTTCTTGAGTCAATACTCAATAGTAATTTGGTCTCATTCTCTTATCTCTGTTAGCTACTACTTCTGCTTGTGTAGTTCAGTAGTCGTGTAAAATGCCTAATGAGTTAAATGACTTAAGGCCTAAATGAGTAAAGCACCTCTGCAACTGGAAGTTTGGATTCTCTATGGTCTGGTTGAAGTTAGGCTAGTTAGCAGGTTTTGTTTTGATTTTTTTTCGTTTTTTGGGTTAACCGATTAGCGGTCAACAGAGGTCATGGTACGGATAATCTTACCTAAAATATAGCAACTGAAATCTCGGTTAACCAATGTACGGTTAACTATGTGTGCCCACCCCCAGCTCTACCCATTGGTTATAAGAAAGCATAATTAGTATAAATGGGGTATCTTAACTGTGTTAATCATGTTTCTGAAGTAGTGTCTTTCCCTGATTTCGTGATTATCCTGCTTCTACATTTTTGTTCTATTGTGCTACAATTTTAAGTTTCTCGAACATCCTATCTTCTGTTTATTACTGTCAATTGCACAGTACTTATGAGACTAATCAATATGAGGTGGTTTTCTTGCTCGTGCAGTTGTAAAGGCAGTTGCAATTTCCAATTCCGCAGTGGGCTTGCCTTTAACTGAAGAAAATGTTGAGACTGTGTTGGATGAAATTCGACCTTATCTCATTGCTGATGGAGGAAACGTGGCATTGCATGAAATTGATGGCAATGTTGTAAAACTGAAAATGCAGGGAGCATGTGGCTCATGCCCTAGTTCTGTAGTGACAATGAAAATGGGCATTGAACGTCGTTTGATGGAAAAGATACCTGAGATCTTTGCTGTTGAATCCATTCCAGATGAAGAAACTGGCCTTGAGCTTAATGAAGAGAATATAGAGAAGGTAATGCTACATTCCAGATCTTTGTTTTGTCCTCCTAACTCCTAAGCCGCTCTCAGTACCACACAATCATCAATCGCCTCACAATATTGGGAAGAGGAAAGACACAAATAACTAAAATTAGCATAACGCTAAGTAAGTACTACCCAACCCCGTAAGATAATATAATTTGTCAAAAATTATTATGGTTTGGGAAAAAATACTTTATGGATAAATATATACTCCATTTCACTTTGGAAAACAATCTCAATAATTCTTCTCTTTCCAAAACCAGTGACACTGTCCCTCCTAATTTCTTTTAAGATGGGCGGTACTTCGGGACTTTTGTTCAAAGCTTTATGAGATTACGAACTCACCCCGGAATCCGGTTCCAACCTACTTTACTCTGTTGGAAACAAAACAACTATCTTAAGTGTGCACCCCCTAAAAGAGATTTCAAACCCCCTCAGTAATAAGCTGTAACTAGTAGTCGTGATGTTATCTACCAACTATCCCACCTCAATGATTTAATCTCGAGTGACTAGGAACTACTACTACTACTACACCTTAAAAGAGATCAATGATTTGAATGTCGGGTTGGATACCGACCTCACCAAACTCAAAACCTTACTCCAATAAGTAGTAGTAGCACTAACCACCTTCAATCATATAGATCGATAGTTTAAAGTCTCACATCCTCACCACGTTCCCAAGAGGTCTTCTTCTAGTTATTTTCATTTTTCTAGTTTTTATAAAAATGTTCTAAAAATACCGTTTTTAACTGTAAAAGTACAAATGTTTCCTTCAAAGATTTTGAACGTTAAAGTTTCAGCAGAAGGAGAAATTCCCAGTTAACTGGATGAGTCACAATAGTCTCACTTAAAACATAATCAGCTTAGACTCTTATCATCTTGGTGATAGAATTATTCCATTTGACCTATGAGGCAAAAAGCTCTTATTCCGACTATTTGTTAAGCAGAGTAAGGCACGAGCTTAATTCTTGAGAAAAGATAGCTCAAGATAATCGGATATAGAAAAGGTGTCCATTTGGGTGTTAGGCTGACCCTACTTTATATTGGTCAAGTCTCGTGTTCTTTTTTATCTTCAGCCAAGCAGACTTTAAACTGTAAAAAACATGAAACAGGTACTTGAGGAGATAAGACCATATTTGGTTGGAGGGGCGGGTGGAAGTCTGGAGCTTGTTGGCATAGAGAATCCAATAGTGAAGGTCCGGATCACCGGTCCTGCAGCAGGTGTTATGACCGTCCGTGTGGCTGTAACTCAGAAGCTCCGCGAGAAAATCCCATCCATTGCCGCCGTTCAACTTTTGCAGTAATATATAAACTTGTACATATTTTTAAAAGAAGTCAACGAGCCTTTTTATGGATACACCATCCAAATTGCCATAGAAGCATAAGAATAACCTTTTACAACTCAGGAGACTGAGGCCCCTCTAAAGTAAATATGATGCAGTGCTTTCGATTGTGTTTTGTACAGTTGTGATTTCATCGTCTACTACAACAGTCATTAACGTCACCGTGAATTATTTCGCATTATGCATTAATGTTATGATTGTTATTATGCAGTTGAGGAAATTGAATGAAAACATGGGCTTTGCTGCAGAAGGATTTTGTAAAAACTCCAAGAGTTTGATTCCTCAGCCTGTTGTGATTACAGTTAATAATATTTCCCCTGTTTTTTAGTTGCAACACTCTTTTTTTCACGTTTGTCAACACACAACTTTGATCATCATTATATTTAATTTTGTATTAGTAAAAAAACAACAAAAATCAAATTATGAAACTTATTAATGAGATGAATTCAACAATATCTTTCAAAAATAATAGTTCACATACATTAATAATTAAAATGTAGTCAAAGTAGAGTACATGAATAATGTATAAATTGCAATGTTGTAACTAATACGATATGGAGGATATTATTTAACCATAAACATATGAAATATTACCTAAAACAATAATTCAGACAACAATAATAATGTTTATATGTGAAGGTTCAGAGAATTAAATTTAAAGTCCCTACATACCAAGTACGGACTACGGAGTATTAAGTAATATCTTTGCAAGTTGTTTATATACTATTCTTTTCATCCGGCCGGTGAGACTTTGTTAGTGGCCTAGATATAATGTACAATAATGTTTAGAGTGAAGGTTCAGAGAATTATGAAGGATTTTTAATTCAAAATTGTTGCATACTAAGTAATATCTTTGCAAGTTGTTTATATACTACTCTTTCCATCCGGTGAGACTTTGCTAGTGGTCAAGATATAATTATGGGACAATTGTATTGGGATAGATCGAATTACCGAAAAGAAAATATGAGACAACCTTAGTCATTTAGTTGTAGGGGTGCAAATGAGTCGAGCCGCTCGTGAGCCGCTCGATGAAAGCTTGAATCGATTTCGATCAAATTCGAGCTTGAGCCGAGCCGAGCCCGAGCCGGCCCGATAAGCAATCCAGCCATAAACGAGCCTACTAATTTTAGGATCGCTAGTTCGCGAGCCTAATTTTATACTCCCTTCCTCCCGAAAAGGTTAGCCAAATTTCCTTTGTTGGATGTCCCAAAAAGATTTGTCATTTCCATTTAAAGTAAGGAATATGTGGCTAAAATTAATTCTCCCTCCTCTGCACCAATTTCAACCACACAGTTTTTACTTTAATAATCTCCGTGAAAGTCAACTTTGGCTAACCTTTTTGGGACGGAGGGAGTATGTGTGTATATTTATATTAATAGATGTATATATAATATTAATATACTCCCTCCATCCCAATTTGTTTTGCAAAGTCAACATTTTTTGGTCAACCAATAAAAAAAGTCAATGCTCCCTATCGATAATTAATTCAATTTTTTAATGATTAAAATTTATATATTCAGAAACTACATTAAAATCTTTTCAAAGTTGTAAACTCCAAATTAGAATATAATTAAAATTTGACATCCTAATTAAGCGAATAAAATGAACCTGTTTGACCAAGAAAAGTCAAATTTGCAAATCAATTTGAGACGGAGGTAGTACAATATAAATTGATATGTATTAGTATATTATATATATATATATATATATATATATATATATATATATATATATATATATATATATATATATATATATATATAATACTGATTGGAAAATGTATATGATGATCGGGGAGCGGAGAAATATTATTAATTATAAAGTAATTTAACAAAAATAATCAAAGTTTCATCCACTTTTTTTCATGGTTTGACCATTTTTGATTTATATTAGAAGTACAACTCGGTGGAGACTTGAAGTTAGGATTGTATTTTGTTTATTTTTCATTCTCGTAACTCTAGTTTCAATTTAATCTTCATGATTTGACTATTTTTTATTTTTTTGGACAACATTACTCTACTTTTAGTTGTTGGGCATGTAAATTGTAATTTGCAAATGTTAAACACTAATATTCAAAGATTATTTCATGCTTGAGATCGAGTTCGAACCTGAACTTTTGAGCTAATCGAACTTATAACTTTTGAGTTGACGAACCAAAATTATCGAGCCAATCGAGCGTGATAGATAATAATCTTAAAGAGACGAGAGAGCTAGAGAGAGAAGTAGATCCATATAACGAAGTGTGAACTCTTTACATGGCTTCCGAAAGGGGGTATTTATAGGAGAAGAATGAGTTGGGCCTCCAGGCTTGGGCCTGGCAGACCCAGTTACAGTAAAAAGCCAATAAAGGTTAATAAATAGTGTTTAATCTATTTTGATGGGTACATATGAATAAATGGTGTACAATAATGTAAATGATATCGGTGAAGCGTGTGTGAGCGCTGTCCAGGCCCAATAGTTGTCAGACCCGGAGGTCCAAGTCTATATACTCTATCAGAGCCGGATCAAGTCATCTCAATATTTGCGAGTCAAGCTCGAGCCCGAATTTTTTAAGCTCGTTCGAGCCGAGCTCGAGCCAATACAATATATTTTGAGCTCGATCCTACATATATTCGGGCTCGGCTCGGTTCATTTGCACCCCTATTTAGTGAGATGGGGGAGTATATGTTTTGCTTTTATCATGAATCTGGATATTGTGCGGAGCCCCGGATAGCAGGAACTGAATCCAGTTTATCCACATTTTCCTTTTTTTTCTTGTTTTTTGGGAAAAGACGACTTAAATTGATATCAAAGCATTCAACAAGGGAACAAGAAGATAAAAGGATCACTTCCAACAACCGACCCTTGAATCAGACTTAGAGCCAACCACCTTGGAAAAAGCAATATGGTTTGCTGATCCTATAATGGGTCTAAATGAGCCTAACGTGGTTAAAATAGACCCTTCATCACCCCAACCTAATGTAAGAGTTTGGCAAAAGTAAAACAACATAAAACCCTTTGGCTCCTGTTCGAAGCCTCTTCCTTGCCCACGACCTCCTTGTTTAAAACCAGATCATCCTCATCACCCTCGAGAATCATGTTATCACATTTGTCGACCATCTCCTCCATCTCCGCCTTGCTCAAAGACCCTTCGAAGCGCCGGTATTGCTCTCGACGAAAAGCAGTGCCTGTGACTTCTTCTCACAGCCTGCACGTCCGAACCAAAATAAGATCTGCACAATAAAAAGCAAAGAAAACACCAACTGGAAAAATGAATCCGCAGGAGGCAGAATCTGATATGCCAGAGGAAATCGACGAAGCTTAAAAACTGTTCATTCCAACCCTAATCGCTAGGGAGACGACCGCGGCTATTCTAAAAACTCCAAATGTGCGGGCAGATGGCGGACAAGACGGAATCCCAGTCGCCTAGACGGAAGACGGCGGTCGTTTCTGCCTCTTTTTTTTTTCTTGTTTTAGAAATGCAAATATTATGTATAATATTTCACCATTTGTGCAGTGTTGAAAGGAATATTTCACCAAAATTATACCATTTCCTTAATGAAGTTTGATTCGTTTTCATTTTTTAGGCGGAAACATTTAATAATCAAATAATATTATAAGGAAATGTGTCTCACAATTAAGAAAGTTGAAGGGGGTGTTTTTAGTTTGGGAAAATGAGGATCAAGAAATAATAAAATTTAGTATAAACACTAACCTTCAGGAGAAGCAAAAACGAGTACACTAATTAATAAGATTGATGGAGTGATGTTAAGATATAGGTTTCATCCTAAAAGGTTAACTTTAAGGATGAATCTCCAAGTCTTAACATTGAAACGGAGTCAAATCGATTCATGGTGTGGGCCCCTTATGAAAAATGATGACACAATTATAAAATATCAACGACGTCATGATCCAGATGAAGTGTCTGGTCATGAGGAGAGGTGTTAAAAGTCCCACACCGGAAGAGATTAACTTTAATAGAGATACCCATTATTTTTTTGTCTGGTCGTGAGGAGGGGTGTTAAAAGTCAGACACCGTTATGTCAATGGAGTTATAAAAAGATAACTTATGTAGTATGGAGCATAAACTGAAGAAAAAGAATTGGATTCTATTATATATTTAATCCAATAGTGTACTTCCTCCGTCCCATTTTACTTGTCATACTTTCATTTTTTGGCTTGTCCCAAAATAAGTGTCTCATTTTCTTTTTTTGAAAAAAAAATGTGGTCTACACCATTTTACTTTATTATACTCAAATCTCAACCACAAGTTTTACTTTTTCAACCACTTTATTGATAATTATGTCGAGTCAAAGTGACACATAAAATGAGAATATTTAAAATTGTAATGCTGCCAACTCTATCCCATATCCCATCTCAATCAAGAGGAGGTCATGGAAGGAACATGTTCAAAATGTCAACCAATCCCTTTTAACAAATCCATTTATAGCTATAAATGGATTACTTCAAGCGTGCTACAAACGAACAATAAAAAAATTATCTTAGAAGGGGTTTCTATTTTGCTAACCAGCTCCGAGAAGAGATATCTATCTATATACAAAAGAGAGTGGATTTTTTGGCAGTTTTCCCGCCCAAAATTTCGGGATAAAAATGGATCAGGCCAGAAAAATGGGCAAAGTGATTTTTGAGGCAAAAGTACATTGAAGGGCCAGGCTGCTGAAAATGATTAATTGAAGAAGTTTGACTCGGATATGAGTGCATTGTCTTCAAGGTACTTTTTAGTACTCTGTGTAAAGGATCAATAAATGTACAGAGGTAATTAAATTGACTACCAAAGGTTGTGTGATAAATTAGACATATTTACTTTTTGAGATTTGAAGTACGAACATCCTGTAACATTTAGGTTTATTTAACATTTTTTAAAAATTAAATTATACTCTAAATACTACATATATGGTTAATACTCCGTATTAGTCTGCAATGTGGTGGTCTTTTCAGTTTTCATGTCATCAATTTAAATGATGCTAAAACTTTGAAAATGATTTTAGGTACTACATTTGTACGTAACTTATAAATTTCATACTTTCATGAAAGACTTTTTAATAAAGGATATGATAGTCCCACTTTCTAACAATCAAACAATCAAACAATCATAACAAGTGAAGAAGAAGCAGATAGAAAGATATCGAGATGAACAACGAATCTGGTATACCGTGAACTGGCCGCTACTCTCCCTCAAGAAGGAGAGCAGCGTAAAACTAATCTCTCTATCTCGCCTATATTCTCTCAAGCCTCAATTACTTAGGTTTTCCATAAGTTAGCTTTCTTTTATAGGAAAAGTTGGCTTACTTATGGATTACAAAGAAGCTAATGGAGTGGTATACATTTGTGACCTATATTACACATTTAATTAATAACTACACAAATACAAAGATATTTAATTACATTGGATATCATAAAGTATTCCTAACTGTTG